TATTAATATTGAAGATTTTTGTGAATATCTATTTGTACATTAATATTTAGAAAAAGTGTCTATATCAATAATAGATAAAATATACATAATTTTTCTATTTATTTTTCATGCAAAAAAAGTGAAAATTGTTATTTTTATGAGACTTTTGCAACCTTTATTTGCGAAAGTAAAAATTTAAAAATTTCTCGATTTTTTGTTTAATTCCATCGAATTTTTTTTATAAAAAAATTGAGGGGTTTTAAAAATTAGCGTTAGATGATAGCAAATTAATTTAACTTTTAAAAGTGTCTATCTTGTTCATCATTTTATGACGATATGTCGAGCATGGAAATCGCACAAGTCCTAGAAAACAGACTCGAGTAACGCGACACGCGTGTAGGATCGTGTATAGTGTTTTCTCGGAGCGTCACGCACGATCTCCCGCTAAAGATGTGAGTCAGATTATGAAAATGTATCGAGCGCGGCGTTTAAGGAGCGTTGAAAAAACGCTAACGACGTGTTTGAGGTAAATCGACTCGGACAGAAACCGAGTGTCACAAGTGTGTCCGAGTCCGTTCGCGATTCGAGGTATCGATAGGCTATTATCGTGCAATTATACACGGTTCGATGCAGACGGCGTACAGTTGCCTTCTCGTCGCGTCGCGATTACACACTTTCGTACAGATGAATGAATCTCCGACGATGATGAACGTAAATTCTTCCTGGAAGCATATTCATAATGCATATCCCGCGAACTCTTCTGTCTCACCGCATCGATAACGAATAAACGCCACGCTTCGCTTATCAATAACGCGATCGAATCGTCGCACCATATGTCTCGTAGCGAGAACAAGCGTGCATGTTATAAAACTTTTGTCCTAATTTTTCACAATGAAATATTTTCGCAGGAGAATCGCATGATTCATTAAAAGGGATTTAAGGATATTTTGTACCTATTTTCAAAATATTAAGAATTTAATGAAAATTGTACAGAATGTCCTTACATATGTTTAGACTCTTCAGTACAATTTTTAAATCGATTCACTAAAGCGTCCACAAGTTATAAGGATTTTAATTTGCACTGAATTAACATGTGTTCTTATGGGAAACGTCGATTTAAATGACAAAAACACATGGAAATAATATTTAGAATTTGTTTAAAATTTGCAAAAGTTTAGGTACAGAGGAATTATTTGGTCAAATAATATTATACAAGTACTAACTGGTTAAAAAGATATTAAATATAATTCAATGAAATTAGCCATGCATCTGTCACAAGGCGAAATTCTCTGCCAAAAATTAATCATTTCGATTAACAAAATTCAGAATTCCAGTAAAAACGCAATAAATATTAAAAAATACATCTCTGCACTGTAGCTAATTGTAAGATCAAATTGTAATATTCCACACAATTTCTTACTTAAAATACACCAAAAGTGAATATATTCGTCAATATTGATCTTCAGCTATTTTTTACTGGGATTGTACATATAAAACATCCTTAAGGATGTTTTGTACCTATTTTCAAAATATTGAGAATTTAATAAAAATTGTACAGAATGTCCTTACATATGTTTAGAATCTTCAGTACAATTTTTAAATCGATTCACTAAAGCGTCCACAAGTTATGAGAATTTTAATTTGCACCGAATTAACATGTGTTCTTATCGGAAACGTATAACCACGTCGATTCGAATGACAAAAACACATGGAAATAATATTCAGAATTTATTTAAAATTTGCAAAAGTTTCGATATAGAGGAAATATTTGATCAAATAATGTTATACAACTAACTGGTTAAAAAGATATTAAATATAATTCAATGAAATTAGCCATGTATCTGTCACAAGGCGAAATTCTCTGTCAAAAGTTAATCATTTCGATTAACAAAATTCGGAATTCCAGTAAAAACGCAACAAATATTAAAAAATACATCTCTGCACTGTAGTTAAGATCAAATTGTAATATTCCACACAATTTCTTACTTAAAATACACCAAAAGTGTAATATTCGTCAATATTGATTTTCAGCTACTTTTTACTGGGATTGTACATATAAAACATCCTTAAGGATGTTTTGTACCTATTTTCAAAATATTGAGAATTTAATAAAAATTGTACAGAATGTCCTTACATATGTTTAGAATCTTCAGTACAATTTTTAAATCGATTCACTAAAGCGTCCACAAGTTATAAGAATTTTAATTTGCACCGAATTAACATGTGTTCTTATCGGAAACGTGTAACCACGTCAATTCGAATGACAAAAACACATGGAAATAATATTCAGAATTTGTTTAAAATTTGCAAAAGTTTAGGTACAGAGGAAATATTTGGTCAAATAATATTGTACAAGTACTAACTGGTTAAAAAGATATTAAATATAATTCAATGAAATTAGCCATGTATCTGTCACAAGGCGAAATTTCCTGCCAAAAATTAATCATTTCGATTAACAAAATTCGGAATTCCAAAACGCAATAAACACAATAAATATTAAAAAATACATCTCTGCACTGTAGCCAAGATCAAATTGTAATATTCCACACAATTTCTTACTCAAAATACACTAAAAATGGATCAATATTGATTTTCAGCTATTTTTTGCTGGGATTGTACATACAAAACATCCTTAATGCGTGAATAAATATTTCGAGGAATTTTAGAAAAATAAAGAAATTTTAGGAAAATGAGATTCTGCAATTTATGAATCTGTAATATTCGATGTTGATGATTTCCTTTTCCCGAGAAATGATAATAGCGTACGTAATTATCCATGGTCTTAGATTCTTAGAGAATAACGCTATTAGCTCGGTCGCTTTAAATTCGCGAGTATTACAGTGTAATCCTCGATAATGTATTCCGTAGACACGTGCATGCGCGTGAGTAATAAGTTTATGCACCGGGCGTTGCGTGCTCGATGGGACATACGAGCCGCTTTGGCAACTTGATTCATCCACCTATGACATACAATAAAATCCCGATTACTTTATGATTCAGTATAAAAACACCTTCATCTAATGCATTCGACGAGTGTAAACACTGGTACGACGATCTCGCGTTACGAAACTCTAGCACAAATAATATAGCTCTGTTTATATATTATAATTTGACACTATAAATACTATAAATCTTGCTTTGATTTCTGCAGCTGCGAAGTAAATATTTGTATGTATCTTAAAATATTACATGTTAACGACTGTTATTTAAAGAAGATGTATCTTGTATTATGATTCCACTGGAAATGATTCAGAAATTACGACCCTTACTGTACAGAATCTTGTAGCTGCAACATTGCAATATTGTAGTAATGTTGTATGGGAAAACAGAAAATTTCTCGATGATTTCTTTGATTCACTACTTGTTTCTTGGTTTAAATTTCATATTGTTTTATTTTAGATTATTGGAACGTTTAGATTATTAAAATATTTCTTTGAAATATTTAATACCTGAGAAAAAAAGGAGTGCAAATTCTTACATATTGATCACGTCTCATTATTAATTATTGAAAAATTGATGTTAAAAGAATATTGTTATATGTGAAATAAAATAAACGATAAATAGTAATGTGTCATAGATATAAAATTTGTAATTATTATTGTATTTAAAATGCAATTTTATATTATTTTCTTAAATATATATTTTACATTTATTATAGTTACCTAACGACGATCGATAGAGCGAGTGTATCGTTTCTCGATGCGCGTGGTAATTATTCGTGACCTCGCGCAATTTATCATTGCTGATAAAACTACGATAGTTTTCATCGGTTATCGAACGCGAGCATTGGTAAAACTGTTACGTAAAACAAGAAAGATAAAGAAAGGGAAAGCTTTAGTTTTCTTTCATAAATTAAAATGTATAACACTGACGTTATCTTATTTTGTGATTGTATTCAGTTCTTAAATATTCAAAAATTTCGCTCAATAATATAAACAATCAAAGAATAAAATAATTTATATAAACCGCGAAAATCAAGTTCGATTAATATTCGAGTGAATTAAGGAATCTTTGTAGCAACATTAAATTTGATTTCAACTTTTCCTTTTTAGCTGAAGATTGATACCTAATTTATTGTGTGAGTGAAAAAAATCTTTGAAATATATCAAAATAAAAACGAAATTAATTCCGTTATAGAAATCGATTGAATAAAATTACGCGAAATTAAATGAAATTGCTGTACGTCAATTAAATTGCATTGAATTAAATTAAAACTTTAATTTTATTAACAATTAATTAAGTTCATAATTTTATTGTTGTTTTAATTACGTAAAATTGAATAATTTTGTTTTGTAATGTAAACTTATAATTTTTTGCAAAGAATTATGTTTTATATCAAGATATTATATCAAGATACATAGATATATCCTGATATGATTATATAGATATATATGTCATAAATATATATGTTATAACTTAATATGAACGAGAATAAGAATAACATAATTAAATAATATGTGATCTATTATTGAGAACCATTACTATTTTACACTATTGAAATACAAATCGTTATAGCTATTAAAATAATTAAATTAAATAATTAAATAATTAAATTGATTATTAAAATAATTAAATAATATTAAATAATTAAATTGATTATTAAAATAATTAAAATAATTAAAATAATTAAATAATTAAATAATTAAATTGATTATGAATGCATGATATGCGTCTTTGTATTAGCGAATTAATGCGTATGGAAAAATTCGCACATTTTCCGTATCGTGGAAACGTATATCCCGTTCGCTTTGGTTTTCTTCCATTTCTAGCATTTCCCTCTTACTTTTCCACATTCACTTTATTCTCTCCCTCTTCTTCTTGTTGTTCACCGCATCCGCTGCCATGTTTCCTGTCCGGACGATAAGAAAAAAAGAGTCGAGGATTATATATTCGATATTGCATATTTTTCTAGGTCAACTCGGGTTTTCCTCTCGCGGGGTAGAGAGGAGAGGAGCTACAACGTACCGGTAACGATAATGATTCACGCGGTTTCATTATGTTCTCGTAGATACACTGGAAACGTGCTCCGCTTCGAATCGTTCGAACCGATCAATCAGGATTAAAGCGAAAATTTTTTTATCCTGATTGGCCAATCAAATCCTGTTACAAGAAGTTCAGGATCCAAGTAGGGGAGTATGGCTTAGAGACGTGACGTATAACGCGACGTTTGATCCGCGACAGATTCACTTGCCGATTGTTGTTCGACCGATATGGTTTCGCCGATTCCGCCTTTCTTAAAAGACCTCGTCGAGAGATGAGGTTCGCAGTTGCGCACAATAACACGCGGATCATTGTGTGATCGATCAGGACGATCGAGTGTCAATCATTTATATGTGAAGTGCAAACGATGGAGAAGTTAAACGTGTTCACTCTTTTCAAAAAATACATGAAGCGAAGCGATCGCGATACGACACCTTTGTTGATAAATAGTGTAGAAAACGGAATGAATTATGCATCAGGTAAGACAAGTCCATCACCTTTAATCAAATTTGATGATCTGATGATCTCTTTATATATGACGCGTACGAAAAGTAATTTTTAAAGAAATTAATTCAATTTTTAAAGAAATTAATGTTTAAAGAAATTAATTCAATGCTCTCGCATTATAACAGTAAAATTAAAAAAAATTGAATTAATCTACTATCTAAAAGAAATAAGTAATGCAGATCGATGAGAGACATTCTTGAAAGATTTTTGATCTCATGAATATTTCTCTTTTTTCACTCGTTAATGTTTAAATAAAATTAATAATGTGATAAAAATTAAGTCTTCTAAATTGTATAAAAAAATTAATATTTGTTTGTTTCTTAATATACAGGGTGTCCCAGATCACATGTACACCTTTTTTAAAATGAAAATAAATGGCTTTTAAAAATCTTCAAAAATCGCGAACAATTTTTAAGTGAATCGGGTACGCTCTATCAAATGATGATATTTTCAACTTTTGATTCCGACCGGAAATACGCTATCCGAATCAAAAGTTGAATTTTTTTAGGAGAACATGGTACTTTTTATTATAGATTCGAATTATACGTGAAAAAATAAAAAACTTTTGTAAAAACATTTTTTCTAACAGTGCCTCTGTCAATCTTAAAATTGTCTTTATTATTTCATCACAGTTACTTTCAAAGTCAATTTTAAGATTGATAGAGGCACTTTTAAAAAAAAAGTTTGATACAAAAGTTTTTTATTTTTTCACGTACAATTCAAATCTGTAATAAAGAGAACCATGTTTCCCTAAAAAAATTCAACTTTCGATTCGGATGGTATTTCCAGTCGGAATCAAAAGTTGAAAATATCACCATTTGATAGAACGCACCCGATTTACTTAAAAATTGTTCGCGATTTTTGATAAAAGCTATTTATTTTCATTTTAAAAGGAGTGTACGGGTCTGGAACACCCTGTATATACATATGATGCAATGAATTTCTTAATATATAATATAATACAAACCTGATATTTTATAATAAATAATAAAAGATTTGTAAAAATGTATGGATACAAATACATACTTTAGTACCTTAATTTTGATTGAGAGATTTATCAAACTTATTGTTAATATTAATCGACTTAAGGATGTTTTATATGTATAATCCCAGCAAAAAGTAGTTGAAAATCAATATTGACGAATATATCCACTTTTGGTGTATTTTGAGTAAGAAATTGTGTGGAATATTACAATTTGATCTTAGCTACAGTGCAGAGATGTATTTGGTAAATATACCGATGAAGGGAGCCTGCCTCAACAACGAGCGACGGCTAAAACCTTTTGGATGTTACTCAGGGCAGTGACCTTGACAACATATGTTAAGGACGAGGCAATCGAGGCGGGCTCCTTTCATCAGTATATTTAAAAAAAAATGCGAACATGGCCATAAATTTTAATTTTTACTTTATTTAAAACGCGAACAAAAAAATTCTAACTTTAATAATATGCAATTAAGCATGTTTTACCTATTTGCAAAATATTGAAAATTTAATGAAAATTGTACAGAATGTCCTTACATGTGTTTAGAATCTTCAGTACAATTTTTAAATCGATTCACTAAAGCGTTCACAAGTTATAAGGATTTTAATTTGCACCGAATTAACGTGTGTTCTTATAAGAATCGTATAACCACGTCGATTTAAATGACAAAAACACATGGAAATAATTTTCAGAATTTGTTTAAAATTTGCAAAAGTTTAGATACAGAGTAAATATTTGGTTAAATAATATTATACAAGTACTAACTGGTTAAAAAGATATTAAATATAATTCAATGAAATTGAATGAGCCATCTATCTATCACAAGGCGAAATTCTCGGTAAATATGTGTTTTTGTCATTTAAATCGACGTGATTATACGATTCTCATAAGAACACACGTTAATATTCGGTGCAAATTAAAATCCTTATAACTTGTGAACGCTTTAGTGAATCGATTTAAAAATTGTACTGAAGATTCTAAACACATGTAAGGACATTCTGTACAATTTTCATTAAATTCTCAATATTTTGAAAATAGGTAAAACATCCATAATTGCATATTACTGAAGTTAGAATTTTTTCGTTCGCGTTTTAAATAAAGAAAAAATTAAAATTCATGGCCATGTTCGCGTATTATCATTGAAAACATTGTGTTTATGGCCAGTTCTCGAATGCTACTCGCGAGATGTATCTGTTATCTAGCTCTTCACAAGTACGTCTCTATTGACATTCAATTTCTCATCCGCTTAGCGGTATCCCCTCAAATGCGAAGACCTTGCGGTCGTTAAAAACTCCGACCGACGCACAATTATTCATGAATATCAGACGCGGTATGCTTCTTCCTGAATTCAGCAACAACATTTACCACATTTACGACATCGATGATCGTCAAGGTTTCCGCGAGACGCGTGTAGCACACATTTTTTCGCACATTCGCACATTGTGAGGGCTGCAGCTGTGCCACGTGTGGCGATTCAATTCGCACGTTTCTGCATTGTCCGCGTCCGTTGCTGTCCTCGTCACCCTCGCGATGCATCGATTATGTGCATGTCGTTGATGCAATATCTAATTATTAATAGATGTTTGTGTATTGAATACTCTCGTAAATGTCGCCTTTATGGCGTTCAATTGCTTAATTGAAAACCTTCGGGGTTAGACTTTGTACTGTATAGGAATTTTATTAACGTCGATTGTATCAACTAGGCGATCTGTTGAAAAATATGACAAAAGATCAATTCCGGCTCATCTTTTTTTTTTTAATCTTAAGTAAAAACTGGTGATCAACTAGATAAGAACTTCGATTCTCCTTAAGTGATACTTTATGATGTACAACCCTTTGCGATGTTTCCCGCAAACTTGATGATTTTTCGTGCAATTGATTTTAAAAGGCATAAATTTTGTTTATGTGTATGACATTATCTGTTGCCAAACATAAAAAATTTGAATAAAAATTACAATTATTTTCACACTAGAGAGTAAAATTAAAGAAGTTTATTTTTTAGTATTTCATTTCACGGTTTGTACTGATTTAAATACCCTTTTTAGACAAAGAATTAAATTCTCATAGAGGAAATATCAACTTCAAACTCTCTTAAATTTAGAATTTTTTGCTATTTTCGGAACTATGTGTAAATCGAAAGGAATGCGAGACGCATTGCGATAAAATTGACTCCGACTTTTTACAAAATTGATTTGAACGAAGAGGTCATTATCGGATTTCAAGGCTTCGTCATGGATATGTTCAATCAATTTGCCGTTTCAATTCGCCGTTTTTTCGCTCGTCTGCTCATTTCTTTGTTTCTCGTTTTTCATTTTCACACGCTGAATTATATTTACTATTAAAATTATTAGAGCTTGACGAAGGAAAGAAGGCAAAAAGTTAGATTAAACATTTAGTTTACGTAATTTGTGTGTATGTGTGCATATGTGTATGTGTGTCCATCTCGTTTCTTGTGTCTCATTTCTATACGTTTATTATCTAAACTACTATCTAAAGCTTGACAAATGAGAAAGAATAAACAAGAATCAAAAATAAAAAGTTAAATTATTTATACTATAAAAGGAGTTAAAGAAAGGGATTTTCGAGAGTTTAAAATGACATTCGCTAAATTAAGTGAAAAGTATTTAATCAGCATAAATTAATAATACACTGAGAAAAAAATAATGTTAAATCAACAATATCGGTATGATTGAAATTTTATTAATTCAATAACAATATTAATTAAATCAATACACCATTGTACTATATTTAAGTAAAATTAATAAAATTATAAGTGTATTTAAAGATGATAATAGCAACTTTTAGCTTTACATTCGTTCGAGAAGAAACAATTGTAATATACATGCGGGCAAACTCGAGTGAAGAAGAGATCTTCAACATCTTCTGCTTGACTGAATCAATTAGCGAACCCCGATGATCGCATTTATAGATAATTGCAATAAGCGACCGATATTATATCGCTGAAGTATAATTAACTTTTTTCTTTGGCTATTCACGGTTCATTTCATATTTTAGTTTCGCTATAATAATCCATTATCATGGCAAAACTACTCGTAATAACATATTTATATTATATTATATTTTATATTTATATTTATATTTATATTATATTATATTATATTTTATATTTATATTATATTTTTATATTATTTATTAATATTATTACATATTTATATTATTAATTCTGATGCCTGATGTTTTGAAATTAATAGAAAATAAATAGGAACAATAAAGAAAACGATATTAATATCGAAAATTGTCATCATTTTAATCGTAATAGATTTTTAGATAATGGCAATGCAACTTTTTATCTCTAGCCTGTAACATCTATTATTATTCTATGATTAAAAATTTCAGCACATGCGTAAATTGGAAAATATCGGGACACATTTAATATGTCGAGTGTCCGAAATAATATTCGGAATTTTTGAGCATGCTTTTTTTATTTATTGCCTCTTGTTGAAATGCGGGTGCGTAGAATGAAAGCATTAATTGGATTAAGGTCGAGCGGATACTCGTTCAACTTAATTACTTGCGTAGCCGTCAGTTTGCATTAACCACTGTAGTTGCGCTAAATTCTATCAAATTCCCCTTGTTTTATTTTCATTCGGAACAAACTTCGTCAAGTATATCTTGAGAATACGGGACCCACATGCATCATACATAAATATGTAATTGTATTTCATTTATTCTTCTTATTTGAATTTTTTCATCATTTCTCTCGATAAAGATGTTATATTCTTTGTATATTCTTTCAAATTATATTTTGTTTCATCTCATTGGATTTCTTGAGACATTCAGCGCTTGTGCATGGAATTTCGTGATTCTAATTTTAGCAAAACTGTGATTCACTAAACATCCGCGGATTTCGCAAGTGGTTTTGTACTATAAGACGAGAATCCGGTCGGACTGAAATTATATTGTATAGTAATATGTCATGCTTCTAATCATATCACTGTACTTTTGAAATATAAATAAGTTGAATAATA